ACGCTGGCCGGGACCGGAACTTAAGCTGGGGATAAACGTTGGGACGTTTGTAATGTGGGAGCCCAGCTATTGCACAAACTCATCGGCCTGAACGAAATATTATGGTAGGAGGCAATCAGCTCAGGGCGGTTAGGACTATGACTCTGATTGTTCTACATGTTCTCATGTAGTTGTGCTCGATGCTTCTGCATGTCTCATGTCTTCATGCTTCTCATGTTATTACATGATCTCATGCGTCTTCATGTTCTCATTTTACATACGATGTTCTCATTGGTATACATGTTCCACATTCGGTATATTGGCTCTCGTTGGTTCTCAATGCTAAAGTTTAATTGAACAGGGATGGTTGTTAGGTGTTGGAATCATACGGCTTACAAGTGCAGTAATTCTGGCATCTTATTCGCGAGCGAATAACAATTGTGTGGCAAAACCTGCATGTTGCAGTATCCCTGGTTTTAGTCGATTATTTTCAACTAACAAACAGATGCCATTCCTGTGGCTCTACGAGTATTTTATTTTAAAAGAAAATCTCGTAACATCAGTTAGGTTCAGTTCAGTTAGTTAGCCGATGTTCAAGTGGCAAACGTTTTCTGTGCAGAATAGTGTGAAGTTGTTAACACTATATTGTCAGCAATTAACTTGACTCTATTGACGCTCAACTACATTCAGTGACGGATCTTTTGATCTTGATGACGCTTGTAGCAGAAATGAAATTAGTAAAAAGTTCTGGTTCCTGGCGACTGTTCCTGAAGGGTTCCAGCCTGAACTGGAACTTTGAAAAATTGGGGATCCGGACGGATAGTTCCGGCCGGATCCAAGTTCCAGTGCACCCCTAACCATAACCCAAACCGTACACATCGTAACCATAATCCTAACCATAACCCGAATCCTACACATTGTAACCATAATACTAACCATAACCCACAACCTATCGATCGTAACCATAATCCTAACCATAACCCACCTCTTATCGAGTGTAACCATAACCCATAACCTACCTATCATAACCATAATACTAATGATTCATAACCCGAAAACTACCCATCATGATCATAACTCTAACCATCCTAGCTAACAATAAACCAAACCATCATAACCATAACCCTAACCCTAATGCTACCCATCATAACCATAACCTTAACCCTAATGCTACTCATCATAAGTTAACCCTAACCCATACACTAACCATAACACTAGCCACTATATATAACCATAACTCAAGCCTCAACTGTATGCCTAAGAAAATGCCTTTACAATGATATCTAGAGATTCATGGCCAGGGTTCATTATTGGTGTTATCGTTATCTTTAATTTGTAACTTTTAGACGGCAGACTCCGATTGCCTCATTTTCACAAGCATCTCTATTTTCGAAGGCATCCTTTCTGGTACACTCTCTCAATCGTAAGTTAGTGTCTACCCCAGATGTATAACAACTCAACTTAAAGACTTAGACGGTTTCTATCACCATTACAATTCACCATGCATCCACTACAAAACCTAAGCAGTTCTGCTGGCAAAAAGTTGTGATGGACTATTTCCGACAAACAGTGCTAAATAAGTTATTTGCAACACAATAATTATCTATAGGTGTTTTTTCGGTACAGTTTCTTAAAACTTTCATCTAGCTTGAATTTCTTAAGATTCCGCCACACAACACGCGCCATAAACGATTATCAAAGACAACAATAACACGATAAATAACGTACGATCGAGCTACAGGTGGCAGACCCGGTGAGCACATCGACATTGAAGGCATCTTCAAAAACTTTGTTCAAAATGGGGCAAACTTACTGTTTACTTTGTTACCTTTTTTTATTACTTTGTTTACTTTATTTGTTGTTTTGTTTACTTTGTTTTACTTTGTTTACTTTTGTGCAAGTGACGTTTAATAACATGTGATATCGGTTAATTATTTGAGTACAGCAAGCGAGCCGCTCTCGGCACAACGTGCAGCCATCATTGACCTAATCCAGATGTAAACTGCTTCCACGAGACTGATGGCTATATCACAGTGACAGAGCAAGTGCTCGCCCACAGCCTCTACAGCCTACAGGGTTATCGCTCCGTTAAATACTAGATGTCATGGTGCCAGATATATGTTTGTGAGTTGGAAACACTCTCTAACACTGCAACTCTGTTGCTAACACTGTTGCTAACACTGTTGTTAACACTGTTGCTAACACTGTTGCTAACACTGTTGATAACACTGTTGCTAACACTGTTG